TGGGCACAAGGGTTAACAATCAGCTTTGTATCTCATGAATATTCACAACTAGTGAAAAAAATAATTAATTAATTAATTTTAAAATGGGCAAAGAAAAAAAAGCAGGAATGTATGAATGCGAAATACCTACATTTCTGTATGATTTCAATACCAAAAAATACAAAATAGAAAAAAATAGAATATATTTGAAAAAATCTGGTACATTGAAGGGACATAGCTTTATAATGATTAGAAAAGTCAATATTATAAAGAAGACTAATCTTTAACAATTACTTTAACGATTAAATGCATTCCCAAACATAATCCCAGGAGAGATTTTCTTTTAACACATACTTTATTGAGGTGTAATGTACATAGTATAAATTTTATTCTTGTAAAGTATATGCCAGTGATTTTTAGCATATTCACAGTTACAACCATTACCACAATCAAAATTTAGTACGTTTACATGACCACAAAAGGGTACACTGTAGTGATTAGCAGTCACTTCCTTTTCCAACCTCCCCTTTAACCCTTGGGAGCACTAACCCACTATCTGTCTCTATGGCTTTGCTAATTCTTCATATGTCCTATAAACAGACTTGCACAACTTGAGAACTTGTAGAAAGGTTGAATGCCACAAATATAATGTTCAACAAAAAGGGCCAAACACAACAGTAATGATATGCATACTTTGTGGTATGTGTATTATACTTCTGTAACTGGTTCCGAAAATATCTTTGTTATTTGAACAAATAACACTATTTTAAGACATTCAATTACAATATGAATTCCATTTCATTCAATATAAAATTACCTGACAGACCTCAAACTCAGATGGTTCAATTCTAAGGCTTATGCTTGCAATAATGCATTTGCGAAGATCCACAACTTTCTGATTTAAGAAATTCTGAGTGTAGCACAACACAATTACGTTCATGAGCTCCCGATTCTGTTACTCTGCAATAGAGAAAAATGTGTAATTCTGTTATATATCATGGGGACAATAAAAGAAACAATAGCATTTTCCATGTGCTGTAGTAAAAGCATGTTGTGAAAATAGAAATGTTTTTCATATAATATTGGCATGAATGGGTTCCTATAAAAACTGAGTTCTTTCTTTAATATTTATATCAATATTTTACTAATTTTCATCATCTTTCTTTAGTTCTATAATTCAGTATAAATTTAGTAATATTATTATTATGAACTTCTCTTTTTTATATATTATTTCCATATAGCATCATTCAACAAAACTTACTTTAGTTTGAAGATTGATCCATTTATTGACTTCCATGGATGATCACTGCTGTTACGAAAGACTCCAACCCATGATATAAATGATAGGGACATCAGAACTTTCTACCAGCAAAAAAGAAGTTTCATTTAAATAATAATTATGAAAGCTTTTAATAATTTAAAGAAATGCAGGTAGTGTAGTGTTTCATAGGATCTTTAAAAAAACAAAATGAATATATTCAACAATACGATAAAGTTGAAAATCACTTTTCAAACTGCCAAAACCTTCACAAATGTTTGTAATTTTAATTTTAAGTGAACTATTGTTTATACCTTATGATTTATACTTAGTATATACTTAGTTGTTTCAGCCTTCTCATATTAATAAGGAAAATTGTCATTGATGTAACTTATAGTTACAATGTTGACAAAATAAACATAGTATAGATTTGAATAAGTTTCTAGATATTGTGCATTCATTTCTCCTGATATTGTAACTAAATTCATGTATCTTTCTATTGTCTTACATACATACTGAGGTTTAGAAAGAAATTCATGTGCTGCCACTGAGGAAATAAATGACAGAGAAAGCAAAATTTGTCTTTCTGGGCACAATATCATCTTTTAACTAGATAAGCCCCCACTTTTATCTGTGTCTGTATTAGTGAAATATCAATGGTCCAGAAAAAGTGGCATAGACTCGTTCCTCTCTGCGACTTTTTACTAAATACAACTGCAAACTCTGGAACTAATGAAAGACAAAAGCAAAAGAGAACTCTGAAAGTAGAAGGAGAAAGGGAAAATGGTTTGTGGCCCAGCGTCAGGGATCAACAGAGTGGCAAGGCATCTTAAGTCCCCCAGACAACAGAAAAAAGTGACCTAGACATGCTGTTGCCCAGCACCCAACCTAGCAAGGAGAGGTGGCTCAGGGAAGTTCAGTCCTGCTCTTATTGACAGGGAGCCCTGCTAGCGAAAGCAGATAAGGCTTATCCCACCGGCAAGAGGGGTCTATCAGGAGACCTGCTGAAAATCAGCAGCCAGAGGAAGTGCTTCCTCCATAACTAGACACACCAGAGTGGGGTGTGGATATGGAGGATCAGCAAAGGGAACCCCACAATTGCAAGTGTTCCGCCCAGGAAGCCTCTTTGTGCTCATGTGTGAGACTCCCTTGTCCATCTAGAAACACTGGATAGAATGGATTTTCATTGTTATATTCACATAATATAGTTGTAAAAATCAACAAACTACAGGTAACTGCAGTAATGTGGATGGATTGCACAAATATATGGGAGTAAAAGGAGACAGACGAAAAATGCACGCTGCATGAGTCCACTGATATCAATTCAAAAACAGGCAAAGCTTATTTGTAATATCAAAAGTGAAGATAGTGGTTTAGGGAGGAGGCAGGAAGAGTAATGAGAGCACACGCAGGGACAGGGCTGCTGGGGCTGGAAACTTGTGTTTTGTGATCTGACTTGCAATTACACGGGTCAGTTCACTTTGTGATCAATCTGCACAAGTATGAGATGTTTAGTTTTCTTTACGTATGGTAAAATTAAACAGCAAAGTTTTATTTTGAAGAAAAGCATTTGTGGAAGCATGATTTTCCATGAAAAGCAAGAACTGGAAATAATCAAATGTGCATTAGAAGTATACAAAAATAAATAAAATATTGGAGGGTCAAACAATGGAATATTGAACAAATTTGAAAATAAACTAATATACAGGAATATGGATGACTTTTACAAATATATTGTGGATTGCAGTTGCTTTTAATAAAATGCTTAAAACTTTTAAAATCTTACCATTTCTTCTTCATCATCTATATAAAGGAGAGTAGAGTTCTTAGAAGTGCAGGCCATCAAACCCTCATTCCAAGTTTTTCTTTCCATACTAATGGAATAACAATTGTTGGAATACATGAACCACTCCTTTGGACAGCAACCACCATGACGTGCTGAAGAAAGATTATGAATTACTTTCCAGAAACAAGATAAATTTTTAAAAAATGAAAATGAATTTATATATTTGAATAGGTATAAAAATATATGTACATAACATATCTATGTACACTCACTGACTTGTACATAGGAAACAAAACATAATTGCTCATACAAACAACATAGACAAGTGTCAGCCTGTCACCCCTAATTTATATTCCAGCATATGACAAAGAAACAAACAAGTCCATCCTACACATTTGCCTGAAAGTCACTGAACAAAACCCTTATTTTAGAATAGAAAATTATTTATCTCATCACATTACAGCAATAGAAAATTTGAGCCAATTGGTAAAAAGACTTTATAGTAATTTCAAATGAGTACTCATAAACATTTTTTGCTCATTTTTCTACGTTTATTTTTCCCCAAATAAATATCTATTGCCCATTTTTCTAATTTATTTTTCCCCAAATAATTTATAATTTTTGCATGTCTTAAGTTAGAGACAAAATGTAAACTGCACTAATTCAAGAACTTTTAAAATCATTATGTACCTTTATGGGTTCTTGTTAGGGAAGAATTGCTCTGCTCCTGTATTACAGTAGCTAGAAAATTAAAGTAATTCTTACAAAAATAATATCTAAACAAATCATAGTCATTTTAGTTACACAGTTTGAAGTTGATACATTGTTTAGAATTAGAATAATGTGAAATAAAACTTATTTTACCAGGATAAAAGTAATAAAGTAATGAAGGTTTTGGGGAAAATTACTTAAGGAGCCTAAAGGACCAAAGTTCACCACCTTTTACAGTACTTGATATAACTACTTTCAAAAATTAATTTGTTTATCTCAATAAGATTTTTCAAGTTCCTAAAGCATATCTTTGAATGATGAAATAAGATCATATACATACAATTAAAAACAAATGCTCTCTACAATATTTCTGTTACTTATACTTTTGACAAATTCAGAATAGCCTTTCCCCAGTTAGTCCAAATGTGTACATTAAAATGAAAGCTCTGTTTCCTGATATTATGAGATGTTTAGAAGCACTTCTAATCATTAAAGTGAAAATTTCCCCTATAATCTTTCAAAAATATACCTACACGGAGTAACAACTGTCATTGTTATCACCACAGAGGCCATTAAAACAAGGCACATGGTTCCCAGGATCCTAGCAATGAGAGGAGGTGATGGTAAATCTGCAGGGAGAGAGGCAGAAACACTGAGAAAGGAGCTGGAGACGGCTGTTCAAAAGGTTTGCAGTCAAGAGAGCCCTGATGCACAGAGAATAATGAACATAAACCTGGACCCCAAATCCACAGCTACCATTGAGATCTGTCTCTAGAATATGCCATTGCATTTTTAGTAAATAGAGTGCTCCATGACTTCTGGGTCGAGGATACACATTTCAACAGTTTATGAGTAAAATCAGACTTCACATTTCACATTAGAATAACATCTCGTCGTATAACTTCGTATAATGTATGCTATACGAAGTTATTACGGTAACCAGAGGATTGGAAGGGGAAAAGGAGAAGAGAATAGGCATGGAGCTTTTTGTGCTCTTAGGTGTCCTTTGCTGCTGCTTTGGGTCCTTGGCCAGACTCAGTTCTGAGTAGGTTACTCGTTCGTCATTCATCTCTGCCGAAACGTTTAATTCCGCATAGGTTATTTCCTGTTCAGTGACCGAAGTGGAGCTTTTTGTGCTCTTAGGTGTCCTTTGCTGCTTCTTTGGGTCCTTGGCCAGACTCAGTTCTGAGTAGGTTACTCGTTCGTCATTCATCTCTGCCGGCGAGTGATCTCACGAGCTGTCCTCTTACAATTGTCCTCAAGAAGTTAATGAACGGTGTGCATAGGACAGGACCCCGAGTGCAGTCAAAATGGGCGGGGTGACGAGTGAGTGTCGTGCTCATTTGCAGCTGGAGAACCTTAGAGTCTGGGACCTTAGAGATGCGAACCAGGGTCTCACAGTCAAATAAGTGAGTTTGAAAGATATTCTACTTCTGACAGTATATTATTCGTGGGACGATAAAAAGCAATAAATTAGTGAAGAGTAAAGATGTTCATAAAAGAATATCTTTGATAATGTCAGTTTCCACAGAAATATTTCAACACCATGAGAATACCTGTATTAAAAATTAAAATGCCAGATTAGAAAAAATTAGGCACTAATTTTAATGATAATTTTGAAATTCAATAATGGATTAGACTAAGTGCTTTAAACATGAAAAATAAGATATATTAATATCAATAATAATTTTTTGCACTAGGTTACTTTTATTTAGTAGCTTACATTTATTTATTAAAATGGATTAGGGATTATTAAATGGTCTTCTATTTTGATAATTGAAGATTTCTGAGAAATCATTAAAAAATTAAGGATATTTTATCTGTTATAACATGTTACAGAACACAATAAACTTATGTATACTTAATTTTGGAAAATTGCAAAAAAAAATTTTAAATAATTATTTTACAGAAGAAATTGGGAATTGATTTAATGGCTAAAATATGAAACCATAAATGATAAATAAAAGTTCAGACCATCTATGGAAGAACACTGTTGGTTCCGACTTTCAGAAAGATCTTATGGTGGTCAAAGTCAATGAGGGTAATTGTGTGAGTAATTGTAATAATTCAGAAAATGTAATTTAATAATTCAGCCAAAGGATTCTTGAGTCAGGGAGATCTAAAATTAATTCTAGCTTTGAAACTTACACTGAGTGACCTTTAAAAAGTTACTTAGTGTCTAATGACCTAGTTTATTAACTTAAGATGGAAATAAGAACATATAAAATGTAATTCCTGTAAAACACTACTCAAATGAGCACTCAAAGCTCTCAATAAATGTTAGCAATATTAAGTCATTATTTTAGCTACAATTGTTCTATTATTGTTTTTTGATGCATATGAGTTATACCATGTTAAAAAAAAAACGATTAGATGAGAGTTTCATATCAGTGTGATACACTTTTTTGCAATATTTTGATGATTTTTTTCAGTCTTTCCATTGTTTATCGTTAAGCATTGTATATAATCTAACTCATTCTTATTCTCATGAAAAATCAAACTACTTTTGTTTAATCTAAGTAAGTGTGTGAATTCTGTTTAGGCTTCACCATTCAAGTAATTCCTTTTAAAAATCTGTAATTGATGGACTAAGTATAAATTAGTATATTATTATTCAAAGACACACAGTGTACTGATTACAACATCTAAAATTATTTATTCTTTGCCTATGGATTTCACTTTAAATTATATTGCTTAACAAAACATAGTATGTGAATATGCACTTGGCTAATTCTCCACAGGCAATAATTTGAATCCTTTAAGAAATCCTTCACCATATTTGATATTATTTAGGCTAGGTTTTCACCCTGAATTATTCAAATAAGACATCAATGTTCTACTTTGATTTTAGTGCATATTAATTTTATGCCAATGGCATCACATCTAGCATTTGTGATCTCCCACTAAATGAGATGAGCTAGTAGAAAGACAGGAGAGCAGCAACACATACCTTCTGTCACCAGTAAGTCGTGCGTCCTTTAGTGGGAGGCCTGGCTACTCTCATGAAAACGCCTACTGTGGCTGAGCAAGAAGTGAAATTTAAAGACATAAATCTAGGACAAGAGCAAACAATGTCTGTGATCTTCACAGATTGCCCTGTGAAGACTAAGAGTGACTCAAGTGAAAAAAAGTAGATTTATCATCACTGCGTCACTTAAGGCTTGAACAGGAAATTCTCACACTTGGGCTATTTTGAAATCAGTTTATCTCATCACACACCTCCAGAATATAGGAGATTTTGGGCTCCTATTGAAAGACAAGTAGACCTCTAAGTATGTCAGTTAGTTTGTCCATTTCCAAGTGCATCTGAAAACTTTTTATCACATTCCACAAGATATGGGGACAGAAGCTTGAGCACCCATGGAGTTAACTTGTTTTCATCTCAATCACAAACATTGCCAAGGTTAGCCTTAATAAGAGTATCTTAGATGTTTATCTCTGTATTAGTCCATTTTTGTTGCTATAACAGAAATACCAAATAAACCTTTGTTCTTTATAAATTGCCCAGTCTTTGGGTAATTTATAAAGAACAGAGGATTATTTGGCTCACAATTCTGGGACAGCTGCATCTGGCACGGGCCTCAGGCTGCTTCTACTCATGGCGGAAAGTGGCAGGCAGCTGGCGGGTACAAGCAGATCACATGGCGAGAGAAAGCAAGAGAGAGATAAAGAGAGGGGAGGTGCCAGGGTCTTTTTTTATTTATTCTTAAAAAGATGACCAGTAAGGGTCATCTTACCTTGACTTGTTGTTGTCAGCACCACGCTCTTCCAAATGAGCTAACCGGCCATCCCTATATAGGGATTTGAACCCTTGGTTGGCCTTGGTGTTATCAGCACCACACTCTCCCAAGTGAGCCAGGGGCCGGCCCATGCCAGGGTCTTTTAAACAATCATGAAACTAATAAAGTGAGATCTCACTCAGGACCCTCACCCCCCAGGTAGAGCATTAATCCATTCATAAGGGATCCACCCCCATGACTCAAACAACTTCCAGTACTGCCATATTGGGGATCAGATTTCCACATGAGTTTTGGCAGGGACAACACATCCAAACTCTATCAATGTCCTACTTTTATTATTTATTTGGCAGCTGGCCAGTACAGGGATCAAACTGTGGACCTTGGTGTTATCAGCACCATGGTCTAACCAACGGTGCTAACCAGCCAGCCCCTACATCCTGCTTTTAAAAGGTTGCTAAATCTTAGCATAACATACTTCTTTCCTGCATAACCTTCTTATATCATTTCTATTTGATGAAAAAAATTACAAATCATACTAACATTATCAACATATATATGATATTTGTCACTACTTATTCTGAGAAATTACTCCTTTTTCCACTTATTGTAGTGGTACAAACACCTTCATCGCCTAACTTATCTTCTCAATTTCTCTGATTCACTTTTCAAAATTCTTGCATTTAATTTTATTTTTAAAATAAGTTATTTAATTTTCATATTTCTCTTGATAAAAATAAGTGTATCTTGAAAGGATAAAACATTAAACTATCAAACTATATCAGCATGCTAGAGATAGAATTACTAAAGAAGTACTCATAATATTATTCACTTATTCATCTTCCACCATGACTGTCTGTTTTAATAGGAATATTTAGTTTTAAATAACAAAAACCCAACTAAAACTATGTAGGGAAAGAAAAGTAATTTTTAAAAACTTCACCTCGGAGCTTATGTTAACAAGTTGATAAAATAGATGTTTCCTCACTCTTATTCACCCGGCAACAATAATTTTGAACAAAAGTGCCTTTGTGGGAGGCGTGGGATTCAAGTAGGAGTTTTTCAAAACCCTAGTGGAGCCCAAGATCAAGGGGGGTTTTTCTGAGAAAGTAGACCTGCACCCAGGTCACAGACTCACTGACTGATCTCATCTCCAGGCCTGGAAACAGCCCATTCTGTTTCCCATCCTAAGCTACAGCTCTATTTGATGTTGGTCCTGCTACTGAAAACCATCCACAGGGGACCCAGGAGGAGCCAAACACACAAGTGCCTCAGGAGACAGGCCAATTGACCTCAGTCTCAGCTGTAGACCCTGAGGCACCCCTCTAACTTGGCTTCAGCCCCTCTCAGCTAAGGTCTGAGATCAGTCTCGCACTCACAGTGACCTGCTGGGAGAAACATCCATCTGTGTCCCCAGGGAAGGCTTGCTGCACATACTGCAATGGCCCTGAATCTCAACTCCAGCCCCTCTCAGGTGCAGCCTGAGAGCAGACCTGCCCAGACAAGGATGCAGAAGGTGACATGCTTGTCAGTACCCTGAAGTTTGACCTGCTGAACTTGGTTCCACTGTGGATTTTTAAATGGCTCAGTAATTTGGCTCCAGTGCCTCTCAACTGCAGTCTGAAGCAGACCTTGCCCACTCAGGGACCCACCAGGAGACACACTCATCTGTGAACCCAGAGACAGGCCTGAAGACCTCATTCTCAACTGTAGATCCTTAATGAGCTCTCAGACTCAGATCTAACCCCTCTGAGCCATGGATTGAGGCAGTGCTATCTGCCCAGAACCCACCAGTAGGAGCTTTCCTACAAACCCAGAGAAACTCATTCTTATTCAAGCATCTAGTAAAATGCTCACCATCTGCAGACCCTGAAGCAAACCACCATACTAGTGCCAGCCCTATGGACCAAGTTCCTGGAGACAGTCCAGTCTATTCAGAGACCAGACAGGATCCATGCCCGCTAGAGCCTCTGGTAACAGGCCCATGAACCACAGACTCTGCTATGGACCTAGCAGCAAGCACATAACCCAGCTCCATGAGAAATAAATAAAAGACATCCAAATTTGAAAGGAAGAAATTAAATTATCACTCTTTGCAAACTATATAACCTTGCATACAGAAAACCCTAAAGCCTCCACCAAGCAAGTTTTATAAGTAATAAACAAATGCAGTAATGTTGCAGAATTCAAAATTAATATACAAAAATTGGTTGCATTACTATACACTAGCAGCATGCAATCCAAAAAGGAGAGAAAGAAAACAATTCCATTTATGATAGCTAGAAAAAAATAGGTATAAATTTAACCAAGATGGTGAAAGATCTGTACACTGTAAACTATGTGTTAGGAAAATAGAAACAGTTTAGTCAGGCTTCCTCACCTCTTATCAGACAAGTTATGATTCAGCATATTTCAGCATATATGCTGTGAACTAGTTATACAAGAGCAGTGTAACTGCACATGTGCACTTATGTAA